GCCACTAGCCATTTGTGGTGATCGAGCACTTGAAATGTGGCTGAGGAACTGAATTTCAAATTTTATTTAATTTTATTTCATTAAAATTTAAAAATAGGTACCTGATTCAGTTATTAGAAAATGTTGAAGTATGTTGGAACAATTTGGGTATGCAAATCTATTTTACAGTCGCTAATTTTTTATGAAATCTAAATATGGATCAAGTATTTCCCATGAAAATTTAGTGCCCTAATTGAGATGTGCTATAAATGTAAAACACACAGTATTTTGAAGACATGAAAAAAAAAAACCGTAAACTATCTCACTGATTATATGTTAAAATGATAATACCGTGGCTATATTAGGTTAAATAAAACATATTGTTAAAAATTAATTTCACTCATTTCTTTTCACTTTTTTCTTTGGTGAGGAAGATTCACCCTAAGCTAACATCTGTGCCCATCTTCCTCTATTTTGTATGTGGGTCACCGCCACAGCATGGCTTGATGAGTGGTGTAGGTCCATGCCTGAGATCCGAACCTGAGAACCCGGGCCACCAAAGCAGAGCATGCCAAACTTAACCACTCTGCCACCAGGCCAGCCCCATCTTTTCACTTTTTTCAATGTGGCTACCAGAAAATTTAAGATTACATGTGTGGTGCACATTATATGTCCATTGGATAGCGCCAGTCTAAACAATTCTAGATAAAAGCTAACCATGTGCAAGAATGGAAATCTTAGAATCCCTTTCAGTGGTCAGATCCATTTCACTCAATCCAACAAACATCTACTGACAAGAGGACTGTGTTTGCTGAGTGTGGGGACCTACCGTGTAGGAGGCGCTACAATTACTGCCGAGCAGAAGGGAGACCTGAGGTCTAATCTGTGGCACCACAGGAAGAGGCACAGGTAAGGTAGAAGTGAAGGGCCATGGGGACTGAAGGGAGATGCCAGCCATTCAGGTGGCTGGCAAGGAGGAAGTGGACGAGAGAAGGGCTTCGAGAAGAAGGTGACCAGTGGGATGGGCAGTGAGGAACAGAGAGGATTTGGGTCAGGAAAGAAGGGACAGGGTGCTGCGGAGAGAACGCTTGTCCTAGCAGTCCCACTTCCTCAGGCCTCTCTTCCCCTGGTCCCCATTCTCCAGGGCCCTGCCCTTGGCCCCTGCCCTTCTCAAGCCACCTACCTTCCCCCATCTGTCCCCACGGCTTCAGTGCCCGTGTTTACACTGACAGTGCTCAAATCTCCATTCCCACCCCATACCTCCCTCCCGACCTCTGGGTCCAAACAGTCAGTGCCCCCTAGACATCTCCATGTGGACGTTTCTCAGATACCAAACTCCACTGACTCCCCAGCCAAGCTCATCCTCTCCTCCCCACCCTAAACCCTGGTCCTTTCTGTCCTTCTCCTGAGGGAGTGGCAGGACCAGTCACCCGGTTGTCCGAGCCAGGAACCTAGACATCACTCTAAACTCCTCCCGTATATTGCACACCCTACACGCAACCAGCCCCGAAGGACTTTGGAGGTGTCCTCCTCACTACTTCTCCCCCTGGCCCCTTCTGCACGTGCCCACCACAGCCGCCTGGGTCCAGGCTGTCACCACGCCTCGTCTGGATCACAGAGAAGCGTCCCACTGTACTCGCTGCTTCCTGAGGGGAAGCCATCCTTTCTCCTCCTGTCAGGGCGATCTCACTACAGTTGAAAACTGCTCCTCTAACAGCTCCATGCAGCTTTCAGGGTGAAGCGCAAATTCCTGCACGTGGCACAGACAGCGGAACTTTATAGTCTGGCCCTCACCCACCTACCTGGTTTCATCTCCTGTCTCTCCCCACGTGGAATACTTCTGCACATTCTGTTCCCTGTGCCTGGGACACCCTTCCCACTTTCTTAGAAATGTCTTTTTTATTGTGGTATAATATATATAACATCACATTTACCATTCTAATCTGGTTTTCTTTGTCTAGCTCATTCTGACTTATGCTTCAATTCAGCTCAAGTGTGACCTCTTATGAAAAACCTTTTGGGTGCTCAGCTTGGGTTAGGTGCCCTTTTTCTGTGCTCTAATATCTTAGCTCTTATCACATTGTACTCTGTTAGCTTATATCTCTTTTTACAGACTCCCTAAGACAGTGTCTGTGTCTTATTTAACTTTGTATCCCCAGGGCTGCAGTGTACAGTTGTACAGGTTATGCACTGCACTAGGATGTCTGGTTGAGGAATTGAGTAGGGGATGAAGACCATTAGCCAATTGTGCACTCTGGTACAGGGCTATATCCAGGCCTTTTTCTAACTTGCACAAAGGTGCTGTAGGTGACATCGGTGGGCCCTGTAAATCCTCAGGGCTTGTTACAGACTTGGCCCACAGTATTACAACAGGTGCTCATTAAGTGTTACACTGAGTAAAGACAGATGGATGTTCTGGGCAAAGGTAGCAGGGAAACACGGTGGGGAAGCTGGAGTAATGGGATGGTACTGCGTGATCACCATTGGATTGGGGGGTTTGGAGCCAGTTTGCAGATGTTCCCTTATTTTGGGCTGGGGGCCTAACTCTTAATCCAGTAGGCAATGAGGAACTTCTGAGAATTTTTAAGAGATTTGTGATTTAGAATAAAAAAATATTCAGGCTTGAAAAAGAGACTCAGAGAAGTTAAGTGACTTGTTCAAGGTCACACAGAAAGTTAGTGGCCGAGCCCAGACTTGAAGTGGCTTTTCTTAGCCCCAGCTCAATGCTCGTTCTTCCACACTGTTCTCTGGGAAGCCTCCCAGAACTGAGGCTGCGCCCTCGAAACCTCCAAGCCAAACCTTCCCAGCCTTCCGGACCCGCGAGCCGGCGATGGTGGGGATGGGGACGACAGCTGGGCTGACTCGAGGTGGGACGGGCAGGAGGCCCTGCAGTCAGCGCTCAGCCTCACTCGCCTGCGCCCCTTGGTCTTCAGAGCATCTACTACTTGAAGGTCGGGACATCGCCCATTAGCCCTCTGCTCTTACACAGGCAGGTGCTCTAGTTTTGGAGGCTTTCTTGACAAGAGCTATCTGCCTCCTTGCAATCCTTTTGGCTGTTCTCCTTTGGGCTCTGTCTAGTTCTTTCAGATTCTTCCCAAACCCCCTCTGCCTCTGGCTGGACAGGCCTTGCCCACAGCGGGTCTTTGTAAGCGCACGGTGAGTTGGGCTGAACCGAATGTGGAGACTGATCTAACCCAGTGTTTCCCAGAAGGCTTCTCCGGGGAGAGTCCTCAGTGCTGTGTCTCCCCTCCCGGGACCCCGTTTTATCACTCATCATTTGTTGCGTCCATTTTGTGATCTTCCGTGAACCCCGGGTCTCCCTCTGGCTTATTCCTCATAGAACCCCTTGCCTAGTTTCCCCATTTGGTTTCTCTGTAGCTCATTTCTGGACTCTGAATAAACGATTGTTTCCTTTTCCATTTTCAACTTCAGTCTGAGTCTGAAGAGCCATTTCTCTACCTTTTCAGAGATAATTTGACTTTTCAGTGTTTATCCCGTTTGCAGGAGCTCTGACCTTTGGCACACATGATAGGAATCCTAACGATAACCTTATCATCAAATATTTATAGAATGTGTACTCTACTCCAGACACTGTGCTTGCTGCCTTCGTAACAATTAGCTCGCTTAATCCTCACAACAGTCCCGTGCAGTACAGCTATTATGAGCCCATTTTACAGATGAGGAAAACCGAGGCACACCAAGATCAGGCAACCTGCCCGAAGTCAACCAGTTGAGATCCGCACACAGGCAGTGACCCCTGAGCTTGTGCGACATCAGGACGCCTGATGCTGCCTCGGCACACAACCTTCCAGGTGCTCTCCGGGGCCACTGATAAGGAGGAGACTCATGCTCCCGGCAGGCAGGCCCCACCTGCCATCACTCTCAGGTTGGGTCCTCCTACAGGATGGACCCGAGATTCTAACAATCAGAAGAGAACAAAGCTCGGCCCTGAGGCCCACCTGCAGGACAGGTAACTCCCCTCCTTGACAGCCGTGTCTAAGTCTCGCCACTTTATCACGAGAGGCTCTTTAATCGATCTGGCATAATTACCTCTTTACAAAGTCATCATAATTTCCCGCGTGCAGTGACAAACCAATTGATGGACAACTTTAGTCCACAGCTTTCCTAGGGATGAACTTAAATGTAATTAACTCTCATGACTTAACAGAACACTTCTCTCTAAATACATAAATTAGATGGACTCCACACTTATCCCTCGTCTGCCTTCACGAGGCCTGAAAGATAAGGCTAGAGGCTCTGTAAGAAGCCAGGCCTTCAGCGTTCCAGGTTGGGTCTGGCAGCCTTTGAAGACACTCATCTTCTGCTTCCTTTCCTCCTTCACAGTTTGGTTTCCTATCTGTCCATTCCACAGGTAACCCTTTCTGACTTTTTGGTAAGGGCTTAGGTAAAGAAAATGAATTAAAAGTCTCTGATTTTTCACAGTCACCTGCAACCAGCTCTCTCCCACCCCATCACACAGGTGACATTCTCTTTGGATTTCCTGTCTTCCTCCTGTGGTCAGCTCCCCATTACCCGCCTCTGCTGGCAGCTATTCCGAGACCCAGCTGCCCCAAGCGGTGGGGCGCCATGGGGGCCTGCCTCCCAGGGCCGCGGGGCAGGGCCACGGCCTCGCTCCCCGCTGGGCCACCTGTCTGTGCTTTTGATTCCTTGCACCAATGCTTCTCTTCATTGGGGCGGAAAATTGAGAGGTGACTGTATAACTGAGGACTATTTCCTTGTTACCCCTTCCTCAGACACAACTCTGCTCAGCTCTCAGAGCAGAAAAAAAGTCCCCTGCCAGGCACATGGCACTTTAAGTGCTCGGGTTTGGGTTTCTCATGCTATCATTGTTTGGGTTTCTCATCCTATGATTCTAGTTTTCAGTCCCCTCTTGCCTCACTTCCCCAAATTCCTGGACATGATGCCCAGGGACAAAGCCAGAGGGTAAGCACTGTTGCCTGGGGTGACAGGGACAAGCAGCGAGCACAGACAGCTGCTGGCTGCCAGCACCCAACACTCACCATGGTTTGTCCCTCGATCCTTTCGCAGAAAAGACTGTGTGCTGTTTGCTGCTGGAGGTAAGTAGATTGTCTTTGGGCGTTTTGAATGGCTTTGAGGTGCTGCTGGCAGAGTGATGGCCACCGAGGCAGGCCTTGGTTTTCACCTGTACCAGGGATGTCCTGGAGTTGCAGGGTGGAGATGCTGGCGAGGGAGAAGGCCTACACATTGACCCGTGTCTTCTCTCTACAGAGGGAGAAAGAAGAGAGCTCAGCACATCACCAGCAGCAAGAGAGTCTCCCACACACTCGTGCACACGCATAGTCATAACAGGCGGAGAGAAAAGTGCTCATCTTGCAGTGTTGGCCTCCCTGAAGCTTCCGTTCTGACGATGGTTCGACATCTGCTCCTATCCCACCAACCAGCAGCGATTACATCCTGAATTTCTGTATCAAATGGCATGCTAAACTGACGCCAAGGTTCTCCCGGGAGGCATTTCCCAGGCTATCCTTCTGCAAAACCACTCCATGGGACTAGCAGAGGGACACCAGGTGTCACCCGAACACAGTGGGATAACCACATAGCCAAAGCGATCCCCAGACAGCAACTCAGAGGCCACAAGGTCCCTCAGGGCAGTGGGTAGGGCAGGACTCTCAGGACCAGAGGGCTGAATGAAAGGGTCTTCGACAGCCAGGAAGTGGCCCAGCATCTGTCCACACGCCACGGTGGCCTCCCCAGGGCTCACTGAGGTCTGGGGCCACAGCTGCTGGGCCAGGACATGCAGGAGGACATCAATGCTCGAGGCAGAATCCACAGATGTGGGGCCTAGACTTGGGCAGGCAGGCTCAGCTTCCTGAGGTTCTACAGAAAATACCAGAGCTCTGGGCAGACATGCTCCACTTGTTCATGCTCAGTCAGCCCTGTGGTCTCCACCCAATGGGCAGCAAGAAGATGCTGACCACGACAGCAGGTGCATGAATAAAGTTCTAGTGTACACCCACCAGGAGGGCGCTTAACTGTTATAGGGTAACAGATCTGGTAAAATTTAAGGACCTCCTTCCAAGAAAAATGCACATTTACACAGGCCCAATAACTCTGCATACAATCACAGGAAGGAAACCCGGACCCCAAAAGAAAAAGGGTCTGTAATCCTAAGACCCCCCTGGCTCTCTCATGCCTACTACAGGGCCCCACAGACAGTTAGTGCTTAATTAATACATGTTGAATACATAAATGGAATTATAACCAATGTCCTGATGGGAAGAACCAGAGATAACGTGGAAATCTGAATTGAATGGGATAATGAACAAGATGGGAGGCAAAGATGGCAGACCACATTCTCCTTCCATCTCCAAGCTGAGTCTCAGGCTTTTCTCATTAGTGAGACATTTCTGGCTGCTATTCCAGGTACCGTGACCCGGGAGAAGACAGCCAGACTAGCCTTGGCTATCTGGGACGGGACTTTGGGGTTTCTCTGTGCTTCCTTATACCAACGGGCTGCCAGGTTGTCTCAAAGGAGACTGACTCTAGTCCTCTGATGAAGTAGGAATTGGAGGGAAAAAGTGGATTTTTGAGGATCATTTGATTGTTGGGTATTTTTGCCTGATCAGTGTTCACAGGTTGCCTACACTGAATAACTTTACTGGGTAATTTTTCTTCATTGAATCAGAGTAGACCTTGCATACATGCTCAGTTCCCAGAGTCATCCTGCTGAAGGTTTTGAAAACCAAGAGCAGTTCCAGGACCTCTGTTTTGATGTAGTCGAGAGAACCCTGGGCTGGAAGCCAGGAGATCTAGGCTCTGACTCCAATCGCACCACATTCTTAGGCTTATGGCCTGGAATTCACCACTTCAACCGTCTCAGTTTCCACAGCTTTATCTGTAAATGAAGTGGGTCCCTAGATGGCTTCCAAGGCCTCTCCACTCCATTATCATAAATACAAGGCATCTTACACCTGCTCCCCCTCTCCTCATCCCTCATGATTCCTGAACGTTACAACAATAATTACAGCGCAAGTACTGAAATATTTTACTCAGGCAGGATCTTCCTTGCAGGAATTCATCCTTTGTAAAATTGTACTGGCCTTTACAACCCCTGTGAGACAGGCAGGAAGCAGCCAGGCGTCTCACTCTCCTCACAGCTGACTGGCCAAGGAAGACCCAGAGAGGTGAGCTGACTCGCCAAGGTCAGGCCCAATGGCTGGTCGAGGAATGGGGCCTCCGTGTCCTGTGCAGGGGCCGAGCCACTTCTCAGGAAGGCAGGAAATGGGGTGTACTCTGACCAAGATTTGAAGCCAGGAAATTAGGAAGTGCAGGGCTTATAATCACTGAAGGTTAGAACTGGATCTCAAAAGTCAGCTCGTCTGATCTCCATGCTGGTGGACGAGGTTATCAGTTAGAGAGGTTATCAGTCACCAGCCTGCAGGGTGAAGGGGCCGATGCTGAGACTAGAACTATTCTTCTCACTTCAAATCCATACTTCCTTCTGCCCTTCAGAAATGTCTTGCTTAGCAATTTCTTTTTTGGCAGAGGTTTCCAAAACTAAAATAAGACTTTGCTTTTTACCACTACTGTTTGGATTTTTCTGGTCTTAATTCACTCATGTGCTATCAGTTGCTCAAGCTGGCAGAGGGGGCGGGGGGAAGGATGTGCAGAAATATTCCTCAGCTCTGGTGGGGAGAGAAGCCTTGATAACAAAGAGACATTTTATTGTGCTAAACTAAGATTTAAAAATAATACAAGTAAACAAAGATAAACCATAAGGAAGGGTGCCATTAGGGCAAAATAAATGGGCCAGACCAGCGATTCTAAAATCCCCTTTCCAGAGAATTCTGGTTAGTGACCCTGCCGACATGCTCTGCTGCTAAACTCACAGATGAAATTAGATCAATGGATAAGCTTTTTTCTTGGTTTTATATTTTAGTTCCACAAATTCTTCTTAAATGACCAATTGAAAGAACAAGTTGCATATGAGAAAATATTCATTAAGACTTGAAGAGAGCCCTTCACCTTAATTTTTTTTTTTTTTTTGCTGAGGAAGGTTCACCCTGAGCTAACATCTGTTGCCAATCTTCCTCTTTTTGCTTGAGGAAGATTTGCCCTGAGCTAACAGCCGTTGGCAATCTTCTTCTTTCTCTTGAGGAAGATTTGCCCTGAGCTAAGATCTATGCCAATATTCCTCTATTTTCTATGTGGGTCCCTGCCACAGCACAGCTGCTGCTGAGTGGTCTAGGTCCATGCCCGGGAACTGAACCCAGGCCGTCGAAGTGGGGGCACGTTGAACTTAACCACTAGGAAACGGGGCCAGCCCCCGCCTTCACTCTTAATTTTTTTTAACGTGTGATCCTGTATTGTAACAAATAGACCAAAACAGTATTTCCTATTTGTGAAACTATTCCTTGTTGTTCAGACTGAATTAAATCTATCACTATTTTGAGGTATCCCACAAAGAGATCCACACTTCTGTCCCCTGAGCTTCGAGAACGAGCTTGCCAGCCACTGGTGCAGGCGAGAAAGGCTATGCAAGAATTAAAAGTGGGGAACCAGGGGGTCGGTCTGGTGGCGTAGCGGCTGGGGTCACACACTCTGCTTCAGCGGCCCGGGGTTCTCGGGTTTGGATCCCGGGCTTGGACCTACATACCGCTCATCAAGCCATGCTGTGGCAGCATCCCACATACAAAATAGAGGAAGATGAGAAAAGATGTTAGCTCAGGGACAATCTTCCTCAAGCAAAAAAGAGGAAGACTGGCAACAGGTTTTAGCTCAGGGCCAATCTTCCTCACCAAAAAAAACAACAAAATAAAGTGGGGAAGCAGGGTCAGAGCAATCAGAGCCCCACTCAGGAGCTGGGCTTCCCACTTCCCTCGGTTAAGCTCTTGAAAATGGGTAGAACTGATGTTCTGGGGAGGGCAGAGTGAGCAGATTTTTCAGAAAGATCCAATTCCTGTTCCATCCGTGTTTCTCTAGTCTGTGAAGACCCGCCTATAGATAACTTGCACGGTTTTGTCTTTTGGGGGAGAGGGGGGTGGGCGGGTGATGGGAGAAGACAGGGTCTTAGTTTCCGGTAAAAAGACGTTGCTGTGCAGGTGGAACGTCTCTGGCTAAGTGCTCCAGGTTTCTAGCACAATCATTCTGATACAAGCCCTCCCCTGCTTCGGGCTTACTCATTTTTTCCATTTTGGTCAAAGGACTGCCTTAGGTAGATCCCTGTAATTATCCTAATTCCATTTGCCCTGCCCAGAAGGAGTTGACAGAACATTGTATTTTTTACTCACTATTTAAAATATTTTAAGGACTGAAGCAATTTTAGAGAAAAAGAGACTTTCTCTCCAAATTTTGTCATTCTTTGTTAATGTACACAGATGCATTAACAAAACTGTGATCAGTTGATATTCTTTTTCAACGTTATTCTATTTATACACTTCTAATTCCCATATACTGGTCATTTTAAATGGTTGATAATATTCTTTTCGACATGCTGTAGATTATTTAGCTACTCTCTTACTATCTACTTACTGACTTTTTTTTTTTTTTTTACAATTTATTTAAAAAGTGATTTAGGATCATTTCTTTGGGGTATAGTTCCCAAAGTGAAAGTCTGCAATAGTTTATAGCTCTCGCAACACATTTCTTTCTAGACCATGTGACAGAAAGACCAAACCAATCTCTTGTGCTAATGTTGAATATGAGCACCACTCACTGACTGAAGGGAAAACAGAAAGTCACTGTCAGAACACATAGGCAGAGTTACGTGTCCACTACATCAACAACAACCTCAGTGATTGATCTTGGATCAGCAACCTCTGGTCTCACTCCTTCTGTCCTTTGGCCAATAGTAATAACAGTTTATCGAGACTTTCCTACGTGCCAGGCATTCTAGGAAACACTTGCTTTACCTTATAGCATTGAATTCTTACAGCACCCTAAGAGAGGTACTATTATTATCTCTATTCTAGAGAGGCAGAAACTGAGGTTCAGAGATACGAGTTGCTCAGGGTCACGGAGCTAGGAAACATCAGATCTGGGGCTGTCTTCAGAGCCTGTGGTCTTAACTCTGAGCTCTACCATCTTGAAATCTCGGAAGATGCTGCAGCGGATGGGAGACGGGGAGAGCCTGGAAGAACCTGCTGCCTGCCCCCCCACTGCACACAGGCATTTCAGCAGGGTACCAGACTCCCCTAGGGAGAGGAAAGAAACACCTTTTAGGTGTTTTGGCAGCTTTTAGGTACCAGTCAGCAGCCCCATGC